TTCACCAAGCAAAACAGCACAATAGGCCTTGCAAACTGGCATGTGTATCACGGAGAGCGGCCGCTTTTGAAATGCAGACAGAAAGAATCCTTTGATGGCGATTCTTTTTGATAATTTCATCAGAGCAGAGCGCGGAGGAGAGTGGGGGAGAATTTACACAGGCAGGCAGGGGTCAAATAATAATTAATTCTCGGCAAACACAAGAGTAATGCACGAGTCACTTTGAAAGAAAGAAATAAAGAACCGTGCTAGACCAGCTTTATTAAAATTGAACATAAAAGTGCGTGCATAGTTTTAAATTTAGGCGGTCAGTGAGGACGTACAGTCGCTCTAACGAGCTTACTGGTCACACTTTGAGATCAAAGCATCACATGACAAAGAGAGTTTCCGGAAATTGCGCAGTTAAAAAAAATGCCCGCATATTTTACGTAATGGGGAAGAAATGAACTCCAATTTTAATTCTGGTTTCGGACTTCATCAGAGCTTGCAAATTTAATGAAAAGCCTCATTAATTATTTTCAAAATTAAATATTGGAATGAATAAAAATTATAACATATTTTTCAGGCATAATTAAAACTGACTGGAAAATGAATCTAAGATCAATTTTTATTTCTAAATATTTTGATTATTTACAAAATAAAATGTTTATTTTTTGCAGAGTTCTGAACATAAAATTTTGTGGTTAAAATAGAAATATAGCGATCAAAATTTTTGTAGGGGATAGAAAAAAAATTAATTAATTGAGGTATCACCTTTACAGCCAAAAGCTAAATTAAAAGAAATTATCGAATTCTAGACATTGATTTCAGCATTTCCCTTAATTTCCAAATTTCAAGTGCTTTGATAAGTCTGTTTAATTTTTTTTTTTGCGATTTCAGCCACAAAATTATGTGTTTTTAGAATTCAAGGATAAAAATCATTACTGGACATACCCTTAATTAATACATTTAAACTTTCGTCTTTCCCAATTTGTGAATTAAATTTACAAAATAAACTTTGAAATGGTACAAGACAGGCTTAAAAAATTAAAGCTTTAAAGTCTGATATCGTTGATTGTGAAAATGTGATGTTTGCCGCGAGACTTGTGCCGAAATTTCTTTACACACCCGCATTAAGAGAGTATATTTTAGGGCGGAACATAATCACCCCAGAGAGCCAAATTCGAGCTAAACACAATCCACCTTAATGACGGCGTGCAGCCGCCGGTGCCGGACGGGAAACAAAGCAAAAGATTTGCGTAATGTACCTGCGAGAGCGAGAGAAGGAGCTTATGTGATTATTATTCGTTGTGTGTGTGTGGTTGGTGGCTGGTATGTCTGCGCGAGGAAACTTTTAGTCACGCCACCAGGCAAGTGAGGCGGCATGAAACCGAGCGTTAATGCAAATCTTTTCTGAATTATTGTGCCTGTGCTGGCCTGCATACTACGCACATTACCAGCAAATAATCCTTCGACTGTGCCAACCAACCATCGCTTCACATGTTTATTATGAAGTGTTTTATACATCCAGCTCATCCTCCCTCTCTTTCATAAAACGTGGAGATCGCACCAAAATCAATATAATATATTTCATTTGTAGAGCAACGCACACACGCGTGCGGTTCCATGCGTGCGTATTTTGCATTTGTAATTTCCGTGTGTTCAATTTCGAGAGCGGAAAGTGGACGGAGCGAGAGTTTGTTTTTCTTTTTATATACAACGTAATTGAAGTGCCAATGCAAATTTTGTCCTCGTGTGTTTACGCGGAAATGGAGGGTTGAAATTTCCTGAATTATTTTCGCAGAGAGAAACAACTAATGCTGTAGATGAACGCAATGAATTACTAAAACTGAGTTGCAGTTTCTAAGCTTTAAAAAAAAGGATGTTCAAAAAGTTATACAATATTCACGGTTATCGTCCTGTAATTTTATGATTTGTATATAGATTTCAACAAAAATTTATATTAATTTTATAATACTCTCAGTGTTTTACCAATGCAGACGACAAATCGAAATGAGAGATCAAACACACATTGATAATAAAGGAATTATTTATAAGCTATCAGGACTAGAATATTCAAATGCTTTTTTATTTTAGTATAACTTTTTAATATTACATTTAAATTAAAAGTAAACAGAATCATTCTAATGAAATTTTAGAGACTCCTTATGTTTTAAATTGATTTAAATTATTTTGATTATGTAAAATTGAATATTGTGTGTGTGTGTGTGTTTTTTTTTAAAATATCATAAACAATTATTTGGTCTCATAATAAATCCACGAAGAAGCCGTTTTTCAATTCAATTCAATTCACCAAAATTTATTATTGCAGAAACTTACAATATTATTTTCCATAATTTTTTTGTAAGTTTAAAATTTTTATTGATTTTACAACATTCTTTCTTTTAATTTTCTAAAGATGCCATGCAGTTGAAAAAAAGAAGAATTCACAAAAACTGATAAATTGTTACTTGCTTAATTTTGTAGCAATTTGGTCAAACAAACCATTGTAATTTAATAATATTAATATTTTAATCAAAAATAGAAAATTATGGTCAAATTTTATATCAAGATGTGGACGAAAAATCGTTTTGACCAAATATTATGTGTCATTTAAAATTTTTTAAATTTGTGGCCCTTTCTAATGATATCATAAACGATTTCTTTATTATCAAACCTTTTGGTCGGAAGAATAATAAAAAATTTGTGTAATTAACAATTTTTTTGTGTTTTAAATTGAAAGCTATTAAACCCATATTATGCATTATCTTCTTTATGACTCATTGTTAGAAGAACCATAAGCAAATTATAAATAATAGTACAATAATATCTGCCAGTTTTAAACTTTTTCTTCTCTTTCTTCAATTAAAACAAAATAAATATAATAAAATCTATCAATAACCGAGAAGGATAAATAATAACAAATAATTATTATATTTTATTTAAAGTTCTAGAAACTATGCCAATTAAACTGCAAAAATGGAGGGAAGCCAGCAGCTGTTCTCACGTTTCACTCAACAGCATCCGCCACAACATTCGGCATGTTAGAAAGTCAATTATTAACATGGCAAAGCAAACCCTCGCCTCGCCGCTCTTTCCTCGCTCGCAGCAGCGTAGAGAGTATATTATTTTGCGTTGCATATTCATAAAGATTAATTGCATCCGGCTGGAGATAGGCGCCCGCCCGCCCGCCTTTGATATGCCAGCATGTGTGTCTCTCCACCATGCAACATTAAATATTTATTTGGGTGGCGCAAATCCAGGAAAACAATCTCCATTACCGTTTTGTAGCACCGCGTGCGAGCAGCCGAGAGTCGGAGGAGCGTTGCGCGTCTGCTTCGAGCCGCTGCTGAGCGCCACGGTACACATTCGGCGCCGCTTCCTTTTCGCTAGAGAAACAAAAGCAGCCTTCCTTGTTTTGCCAATAGATTTCCGCATGCAAACAAATTCAACGCGCTACGCGGTTTTGCGAACAATGCGATATTCTTGTGTGTGTTTCTTAGGACATAAATCACTTCCTTGCAATCCTTTGCTTTCCCTTTAGTACGAAGTTCAAAATTTCTATCGGATGAAATGTGCGGTAGGTCACGAGCAAAATGTTGAATTCGATTTTCTCATTCTGCTGTTAGAACCAGCATATTTGAAGGAAATAGTTTTCTATTAAAAAAGACCAAGAGTAAAAATTATATATTAATTTTTTTTCTATGAAATTACCTGGTTGGGCATGGCGCAAGGTTAGTCTAAATATTAAAAATTTTATAAAGAGGTAAATTTGAAGCGAGTTTCTTCGCTAAATTTTATGGCGCTTGTCATGTGAAATAAATGTGAAATATATAAAAAAATCTCTAACTTGATAATATTTGCACGGCGTGATGGATATTTTTTTCAAAACAGTGTGATCTAATTAGCCAATCTGAACTTTGAAGATAATGGGATTAATAAAATCAATTATTTTAAATAACTACGTCCGTTGAAAAATCCACGGGCAGTCTCTTAATTTCCATTACGCAATTCAAAGTAATTTAAGGGGAAGCTTATGATGTAGTCAAATCAGTGCATTGTTTGATTGTTGCCGATTGTTCTACTCTGGAGTCAAATTTGGTCTTTTACATGGTTTAAATGGGCCAATAAAGGTCAAACATGCCCCTCATTACTCTTCGCCATAATTTTCCCCGCATTTTTTTATGCAGACAGTCAAATTCTGTGCAAAATTGATCAGGCCATTATTTAGCAGTGGACCTTCCTTAAAACATATGAGCAGCACAGTGAAAAATCAACACGTTAGGAATTCACAATTTATTTTAAATTTATGTTTTATATAAAATACGTACCAACTAAACAAGACAAAAAGTAAATCCACAAAAAAAATGATTTGTCGAGGGTAAATAATGCCCAGTGATTAAGTAATCATTTCTTGAAACTAAAAACTTCATCCACTGCTATGTTGATAAAAATAACTTTTCAATGTTAATAAAAATTTGTTGAATTAGAACGATGCACGCATTATTGAATTCGGACTGGTAAAAACAAATTATAAAGTACAAAAGCTTTTGTGTAACATAAAAATCTACCACCTTATGTTATAGGCTTAGCGGCTTATTAAAAAAAATTTTCCCTCAAAAATCTCATGCATATGAGGTTTGCGTTTACAAGTGGATCCAAAAGGGCAAAGAGAATCTGGTCTGCGAGAAAAAAGGCAAACAAACATTCCCGAGAAGACAAACCGCCGAAAAGTGGTGAGAAAAGCAGAAACCCTTTTTCTTTTTGCATTCGAACTTGGGGAGTGGCAGAGCGAAAACAAACGCGCTTTGGGGTGGGTGGGGGTGTGGGGGGTGGGCCACTACCTGCGCCGCTTCTTTCGGACCAAAATCACAAGGTGGGTCATTATGGAGATTAAAACGCGCACTTTGATGATGTCGGCGCGATGTATTATGAATGAGGCGCCGGCGCCGGTGGCGCTCCGCAGAGAGGGAGAAGCAAGGGTTGGTGTTGTGCGGGCGGGGGTTGGGCCAGCGGGAGCACATGTGCTCGGGCACCTCGGCGAGACGGACGCGCGCGGACCATGCCTGTGGCAGCAACTGCAGCAACATGACTCGAGTGTGCTGGTGGGTGTGCTGCTTGGTCCTCCTAGTCCCAGGTAGGTCACCTTTTAACAACCCTTTCGCTCCCCCCGCGGCACTAAAACGTGAGATTGCCTCGCTCCTTCGGTCGGTCGGTCGCGTAGGAAATTTTTATTAGCCGCAATTACATTCCCGCCGCCGCCGACTTAAACTCTTCCATCTTCTACTTTTGCGCTGGGATTTGAATTTTTTTCCCTCTCTCGGCACACATTTTCGCTAGCTGGGTTTAAGGCGAAAATTAAGTGGGTCGTTTGTGGCAAAGTTTGCCGGCCGAGATTATTTTCGTGAGTGAAGTTGCGGACGTGCTTTTTGACGGAAACGCCAAAGAATTCGAGTTTCCTACTACGATTTTTGTACTTGTTGGTTTTTTCTCGGTTGAATGTTACATCATACATGGCATTCAGCAACTTTTAGCCTTTGGAATAAGTATTTCTTTTTGGTTTTATCAGCACAACGAAAATAATCTTCTATTGTAAGGCAAAGAATTCTATTTGTCACTTTTTCCAACTTTCTTTAAATATTAATTTTTTAACTTTCTTCACATAGCTCGATCATTTAATTCATTTTTCGGAAAACTAATGACAAGACCTAATTTTTAGTCGCTTTTTATTTCTTTATATATCCTGACGATGGGTATAATAATTAATATAGCTTATAGCTTGCTTAACTAAACTGAAAAAAAACCAGAGCTAACAGTAGAATTGAGTTTTAATCGTCACAATCTCCATAAAATCTTTAATTATGGTTGTTATTCATAATTTATTATTAATGGAATATCCAGGTTCATTCGTAATCTCTTAATAATTACAATAATTACAAAAATGTTTAATGCACATTAATCTATTTGGCTCTCAGTCTCAAAAGTAATCGATGCAGTAATGCCGAGTGCAAACACAATCATGCTAAAATTATGCTGCTTTTGCGTGCCTTACCTCATATCTAGATAGACCGCTTCTTATGGTTAATCCGATAACACGAATTACAGTAACTCGCAAGCCAACATTTTATGATTTACGGTGGCATAAATGTAATCCCTACTAATGCGTAAAAAGATAAAATTGTTAGCCGGTTTTTAATTTATTATACTTAATTATTGGTCATTTCGCTTACAACAGAAATTAAAAAATATTAAAAATTAAAAAAAAATTTTGGTCTTAAGTCTCACAAATTACATTAAAAACATATTATTTAATATATTGTTTTTAAATTTCAATCGGTTCTAGTTTGAAAAAAGCTTCATTTATGATGAGATTTTGGTTGCTTTCAATTTAAGCGTATTAAATCTGCTTTTCTGACCAACGAAACAATTAAGCGAGGATTGATGTAAATACGAACTTTGCGTGAAGAGGATCAACAGGAAACTGTGGTGCGAGGGAGCAGCACACACGGTGCAAAATGCAAGAAACATTGTTGTGGCGCGCCGTAGGTGGTTGTTGCTTTTTGTGGCGAAGTAATTTGGCTGCTGGGGATGCTGAATTAATTACGCCCGTTCAACATTCTCTCCATACTAATGGCGTTATTCACAATGCTGTTTATCGCGCGCGTGTTCACAGCTATACCCATATACGCAGCCAAGTACATGCAAATAAATATACTATTAAATATGCCACACATCTGCGCTCTGGGGCTTTTGAAAACTCTCTTAACATATCTGTGATGAACTTTGAGAAGTGAAATCTACACGCGTGAGATGTGTGGATTAAGAACAGACAAAGAGATCAATTATAAACAAGTTTAACAGAATTTGAGGTTTTTAACAAAAAAATTATTAAAAATTTCTGATATTATTCTGTGAAAGTAATCGCAAAAATGTTTATTGATCTAACACAGTGTAAATTATCAACCTCATTGAAATGTATTAAAAATAATAAATTTTAGTTCTTACTCGTGGAAAAACTGAAGCGATTTTTGTGTTTTCATTTTGGATTTACTTAAATCGATCAGTTTCTTTAGTTTTTCAATATTTATAATTTTTATTTACAGATAATTAAATTGATTGAAAATGGTAAATTTAAACATATTTCTCAATGATAATTATTAAAAAAAGTTTACGCGATAATCAGATGCAATGTAATTAAAACTTTCAAAATAAATATTTTTTTTATCATGCTTGAATAATTTCTCTCTCGCTCTTGCAATTGTTTATTTTTAAATGATCTTTTTGGGGCAGAAGTTGTCCGGTGTGTATCTATGAATATTAGTTGAAACTGAAAATGTTTATAAAACCATTAATAATTAATGTGCAAAACTGTTCTGAAGTAAATTTAGTGTTCATTAGAACATCCTTAATTTAAAAATGTTGCATAGGAACTAATATGCCTCAAAATTTGATAGGATAAAACTTAAAAAGGTGCGTTTTAAAATGTAAAAAAAAAACTTCTAAAATAGGGTGTTGCAAAATTATGTAACAATAAAAGGAAATGTAAATGATCATTTTAAATGCTCTCACAATTGTAAATAACACTTTCCGTTCCACACACATCTAGTTGACATGAGCCTAAAAGTGTCCAGTGCTCGAGTGGCCCCAAGGGCTGGCGCAACACATGCTCTCTCCCCCTCGCCCTCCCTCACTTGGTGGGTAACGAGCAGGGCGTGTTGATATTCAAATTCAATTGGCAATTAATGCTCTCCGTGTAATTGTTATTAATATTGGCGAGCGCTGCTGGCTGGGGAGTCAGCGCGGGGTTAAACGCTGCGGCCCCGACTTGCGTGCCGCCCGCCAAATGAAGAAGGACAAACAACGGAGGGTTGCGTGTGCCATCTCGCCCCCGATGCCCCGCGCTTCCCACCCGCGGAATAATTATGAATAATGGCTAATTTGTCGGTGCACGCGGCGGCTAAAAATACGTATGTGTATCGCGCGTCCACTCGACGTGTGGCTCACGGAGGATTCTTGCGTCCGTCGCGCGAGCACAAAAGCTCTATAGTCATTAATCTTTTTGAATGCAATAAACTGCGCTGCTAAGGGCGCCAGAGCGGAATTAGGACTTTCGGATGGGGATTATTTGTGCATTTTTCTTCCGAGTTAGGGGTGCGGAAATGGACAAGCACTTTCTCACCTGTTACAATATTTGTCGCCTGTGTTAATTTATGATTGATCGACTTAAAAATTAGGAATTTTACAAGTACAACACATTTAGTTTTAACTCGATTTAAATCTTGTTATATAAAATAATTTAAAAACACTTTCTTCTAGATTTGGAATTTAATTTAAGCTTTAAGTGAATTAATTAATTTAATTATTTAAATAAGAATTTAGCCCCTTTTTATTGATTGTTTTTATATAATTTTGTAAAAATTGACACATTTTCATCAATATAAATATTGAAAATTTGTTATATAACAATTGTTTTTATAAAAAATAATTTTATACAGAAATCTATTCTGGCGCTGTCTGCACTAAAGGATCGGTGTTATTTTATTTTAAAGTTTGAATGAATTGTTTTGCCCAATTTATATTAAAAATGCAAAGAAAGTAATGGTATGGTATGGCCAGGGCATGGCGAGCAGAAAAAATTCTAAAATATTGAAGCAATTTAAGGATCAGTTTTGACTCCAGAATACAACCAACCATGTCAAACAACGGACAGATTTGACTCTCAGATCATGAATTATTCAAATCTTTACTTCGAAGCTCCATTATGCTAGTTTAATGAGACTAAAATATTTAATTATTTACTTAAAATTCAACGCATGGAACTTTTAATTGATTGGAATATTGAGAGCAACTGATCTAACCCACTTTGGAACTTTTCACTTTCAAACCGATTAATGACAATAGTTTCTTCCGAAGCATTTAAAATCAACAGCTAGTCAAAGCGAGAGAGCGGAACTGTCTCAATTTCCCGTCACCCGTTTCGTGTGACTGTTGATCTTGCTGAACCACACATTCCGGATGAAGACACGTCAGTCAGTCAGTCAATTGACTCGCGCAAACCCCTGCCGAAAGCGAGTGCACGCTTCCTGTTGAACGGCGCCGCCACTCGGGTTGCATAAACGACTCTTTCCTCTCGCTCGCGTAAGTTACAAACGCAAAGTGGATCGCAATCATTCCCCCGCCGAACCGATTGTGTTCGTTCGCTCTCTCCGCAAACCATGATATGTGCGATGCAATCGAACCGCTGCGCCGCCGCCGCGCAATCTCTTTTTCAAATTTACTGCCCGCCCGCAAATAAATAATTGAGAGCGCAGGAAGCAGCCAGACGACCACCCCATTCCATCGCTGACTGTTTTGCATGGTAATTGCCTGCCTCTGATGCAGTTCGCAATTGACTTTCAATTCTTGCACCCGATCAAATGCAGCACCCACAGTTCAGTATGGAAATTCAATCAAATTTATATCGATTAAATTTTATAAAAAAAATTGCATAATTATTGTTCATTTTTACAGTTCTTATGTTCTTATATACATCACATTGTTTACACTATATTTGGAAAAAAATTGCCCTAGCAATAATTCTGTTTCGCTTTCAAGATCATTGATTTTGATTTTGAAAACCAATTTTGATTCTTATCCCTGAATTTTTTTATTTAAAAATTCAATATTAAAACTTTAATTTCTAATAAAAAAGCAGCAGATAATATTTAATTTTCTCTTAAAATTTTCAACTAAATTGAGCTTTATAATTTTCTTTGTGAATGTTCAGAGCAGCACAAAAATACAACGTACGGTTTCCTCCCTTTGTGCATTCACTGCGAATACACAGCCCGCGGACAGGGGTCGGTATTTTTTTTTTTTTTTTTTTTTTTTGCATGTTTAAGCGTAGTGGTGTGTGTCGGTGGTGGCGCGGAAGAGGGCAAAGGCGCAGTAGCCACGGGACACGCGGGCGGCGGCTCCCATTTATTTGGCGCCGCGCTTGTTATTCATGCATGTGAGCCACTTGTGTCCCCTTTTAATTCAATTCCAGCCCTGCCTTCAGCTCTTTGCTTCTTACATTTATTCTCCCTCGCTTTTTTCCGCCGCCCGAGGAAAAGGTGATTTCGGCGGCCCGAACTGCGAAAAAGAGCGAAAAACGCC